AAGCAATGGAAAAAATATCCTCGGGTGAAGATTAAATTCCATGGGGAGAGATGGCATTGACTGATGTGTGCGTTTGTTTAATAGGAGTGGTCTTACAACTAGTCTCTGAGTTCCTTGAGATCTGGGACCGTTTTATTTTTTATTCAGTGTTGCCCGAGGTCTAACTCAGTGCAGGAACTCCGTACACGTTTGCTGAGGTAAAGTGGAATCAGAGACTGACAATATGATCATTAACACACACCCAGGGCTCTAACTCGCCCAGTCCCCCATTCAGATTCTCTCCCTCCCTCCCTGTCCTTTCCTATAAAGGGTAGTTAATAATTCAGCCAACAATAGTGTATTGTGATGGTTAAGAATATAACAATTTAATTAATATTTGTTTCTTCAGCAGTGCAAATCTCATCTACCCAGGAGGGCAGTTTTCCATTTCTGTTCCGGGTTTCTCCCAACAAAACAGATCAATCCTGCAGGTACCTGAGGCCATTTGTTAGGAAAGAATGTGGGTAATGGGTTTGTAACAGGCACAATACTGTGATCAGCATGTTTTAAACACTGACATTTATTTAGGGTTTGGTGAACTCATACATTATTGGGATAAATTCTAATTTATATCAGTATATAATAAGCAAATATATAATACAATAAATTGCATTTGAATACATAAATACAAACTTTGAGGTAGGTCCTCAAGAATAATGACTTCTTAAATGAATAATACACAGTATCTAACACGTACTCTATAAGATATATATATATGGTGCATCATTTGTAACATAATATATTTTCTTCATGTACAGTTAATGAAAAAATAGAAGGACCTGATTAGGGAACATATCTTCACTCATAGGCAACAGGAGCACATAAGACGCCTACATTTAGGACATTAGCCAAGTACACAATTTAAGAATAAACCTATCCTGTGATAGGTCCGTAATAAAGTGCAAAAAAAGACCAAAAAATGAGAGACAAAACAGTTCCTAGTCAGTTAGTAAGTATCATCCTAACAATAAAATACACCTATAAGGCAAATGGTTACCTGAAGATGTATTTAATCCGCAGGCAAGTCAGACCACTGCTTGCTTCTCAGAGGGGGTCCGTGCCCAGTCTGAAAACACTTTCTCTTTGGCTGCAGGCTGCTCAGAGATGACCGAGCAGAGACCACCGTTCAAAACTACTCGGTCCTTCTGTACAACTGAAACAAAATCTGGGAGAGACGGGAAGCTTCGTTTTTACACATCCTAGGGCCACTTTGGGGAGAAATTAGTACCAGGATTAAGTCGCCCAAAACTTTGCTCCCAGCCTGGAAGTTTCCTGCTCATTCATTGACCCTGAATGTTTTTTTCCCTGCAAGACAACCGGCCCCGCAGCACGCCCTCACTCTGGTCACCCGCCTTAAAGAAGCGTGTCACAAACCCAAACCAGGCCCAACAGCAGTGGTATGACCTTGCCATCACCCACACGTTAAGCAATAGTTATTGTGCAAGTCTCTGGGAAGAAGACAATGACCGATGGCCAAGGGGACAAACGGGAAAGAAAATTCTTAGTTTTAGGCATGGGGAAAACCATGCTGCCAGGTGGAGGTTGTCGGGAAGCACAGAGGCACATGTAGATAACAGGACTTAATAAAAACTCAACTGCGATGCAACATTAGCAGAACCACCCAAGTCTTGTGTCCATTTAATGCTCATTGTGTTAAATGTCTTTTTAAAGTGCCACTCACTGAAATACGAGTTGATTACATTTCTTACGTATTAAAGACACATTGAAAACTTCAAAGACGTCGAGGTCATTGATTTGCATTGACCGCAGATTTCATGCAGTAAATAAAGATAAAGAAAAAAGGGAAAAAAGGCCAGATTGGACACATTGATACACGACAAACACATAGCCCTAAATATTAAGTTACTAGTATGCTAGACAAGTATTTGCATAAGAAGCCACAACACCAACAGTTAAGAAATATACATGTTTCCTTTTAAGGATATTACAGGGTTACTGTTTTTAACATATGGCNGGCCTAGTTATTGTCTAACCACTTGGGTTGGGGTCCTTGAACTTTAAGAAGTTTTGTGTTTCCAGCTGTACCAGGGGGATTAGTGGCCAAGTCCAACCTCGTGGGAGCAAGTTTTATTGTTACCTCTTATAAGGCTAGAACCATAATGGGTTTTTTTTTTTTTTTTTTTTTTACTCAGAATGGGCTTCCGGCATTTGTTGGTGTTAGGAAATAATCTCAAGGGTGGAAAATACCCCACACTCTGCACAGCGAACCAATAAAATCCTTCTTCGGCAACTCGGCTTTTCCCTTGGTTTTCAGGGGACCTCCCCGGTAGCGGTTTACAACAATGCTGCTCATTTTCTCTTTATTAATTCAAATTTTTTTCTTCCGATTGTGCATTTTAACACGGCGCGGAAACATGCGTCCCAGCCGAGCCCACATGGGCAGAGTCGCGACCACTGGCGGCGGCCCCGACCCTGAGCGCGGCTCTGGCCGAGGGCCCCCAAGCTGAACCTGGCACAGAAACTGGCAAAGCTAAGCACACAAGGCAACCGCTTCCGGGGAAGTTCAGAACCTTTCACCTGTAAGGAAAGTATCTAAAACCTGGAAATTGTAGGAAAAGGGGCAAAAATCTAGCTGCTCAGGGACCCGCTAGTGGGTCTTAACGGGACAGATCCTGACTGACACCCCGCAGCTGCTCCTGGCTGGCGAGGTCCCCGCTCTCACAGCGAAGCTCACGCCCAGTGCGCACAGAACCAACCTGGAGGCAGCCACGGGGTTTCCCCCTCCCTTCTTTCAATCACAACGGCAATAACTGGCTGAAATTGGGTTGGCATCCAGTGCCAGGCTCAAGCTTTAGCCAAGAAGCAAGGGAGAAAATCTGGAAACCGTCTGTCCTGACGCAAACGAACAGGCCCCGTGAGAGAGTGCAAGTGCGTTTCGGCTGCTCCTGTCCACCTTCAAAGCGGAAAGGCTGCAGGTCGTTCCCAGACCTAGGTTACTCCGCCCCGCCGCTCCCACCCCACCAGGTGTCCACGGCAGAGGCGGACTTTGGGTGCCACTCTGCGAAACCCACTCCCGCAGCGGGGGCTTNGCTGCAGGTCGTTCCCAGACCTAGGTTACTCCGCCCCGCCGCTCCCACCCCACCAGGTGTCCACGGCAGAGGCGGACTTTGGGTGCCACTCTGCGAAACCCACTCACACGGCTTTCGTGGGGAAACCAGTGTCAATGGCAGACAGGTCACTACGGGAGACGCCGGCACAGGTGAGGCCACAGCGAGGCTTCCTGAAGCTCAGCGTTTAGTCTCCGTGACCGAGTCTAGTCAGTCCTAGCTTTGGGAGCTAGACAGAAAAAGAGATGGGGGAGGCGGAAGAACAAACATGCACTGCAGACAACAGAGGCGAAGACCTCAAGTTCAAAGCCCATCTCTGCTTCCTTTTGTAAACGCTCCCACAGGCTGCCCTTGAAAACATCGGTGTTTGGCAAACGGCGATGGTATTTGCCCTAGAGAAGGGGAGAGCTCAGTAAAATGAGTTTTTGGGGTTTTTTTTAACAAATGAAGTCATTTTTTAACAAATGTTACATTAAGGTTTGTTGATGGGTCCCCTTGCTGTTGAACAGGACAAAAATGTCACGTCAATATATAAGACTTGAACTGAACACTTTGCCTGAGACCCTGTAATATGAAGACAAATCAGAAAATAATTGAGATGGTCTCCCCTTACAGGAAACAATTCGAGCTTTAGCTACTCTTACCATAAGAAAACAGAAACCTGGACGGCACCATTCTAACCTCACCATCTCTACAGCGATTCCTAACGTATGTTTAAGGACAGAAGACACCACTATGAGTACACACTCTACGTGAACACATATCACATTTGAAAAATTTCACCTATACACACCCAGGATACAAGAAGTCCACACAGGTTACGGCCTCGCCAATCTCTGCAGACACGTGATTGCTCTCATTAGAGTGTGGTTATGAGTACTGTGAATCGGGAACTCTTAAAATTGAATTAGCTAAATGTACTCTTAAAAGCTATAGTCTTAATTGTCTCACTCACTACTTACCTACGCTGTATTCATCAGAAATTTCTGTAAATACAGTGACCTAAAATGTACTACCAGCGCAGTGAATATTATGGTTATTTTCTGTTAAACTCTCCATTTCCTTGATTTCTCTATGACCACAATTGGCAATGACTGTGAATGAAAAAGTTAAGAGTAAAAATTGAGAAGTGATCTGTCTTTTAAGAGTTTGTGTCTTATATGTATAATATATAGACGGACCAGGGTAAGTCTCATTTTCCCAGAGGCTGAGAGGCAAGGTGTCTACAGCTTATAGGAAGACACTTAGGAAAGGGGGAACACGGGACCATGACACTGAACCATGGTGCTGAATGTCACGTAGAAACTAGAGTGGAGCTCTCCTGTGAATGTACACAATTAGGCACAAATTATATGATGGCTTGTGCAGAGGTGGAGGAAATGACCAAAAGAACTCACAAATGTGGCTATTTTAAAAAAAAACAAATAACTGAGGGAAGAGAGCCAACTCTTCACTGAGATTCGTGTGCAGAGTGAAGTATCTGAGTCCTTGGCACACTTGAGACAGTTGGTCCAAATGAAGGAAACAGTCCCGATTGTGAATCGAAATATGAACTTAACCACCTCGGTGGTGTCCAAATCCACTGGCCTTGTCCTGCTGTAAAACGTGTCCTGACCGCCGCTGACCCTCCGCGTGTACCCGGTCCTGATCCTTCTGCGCCTGGACGAAAGCTCCGCTCCGCTCCGCTCTACGATGCCGACGAGGCCGAGTCAGCAGGCGGGCACCCCAGTGACAACACACAGGGCATCCTTTTGTGTTGACGAAATCGCACATACCTCCTTAGGACATCACCGGAAAGCGCTCCCCTGCCTGATCCGCTCCTGAGGGGTAAAGCACGTGCTCGGGGGACCAACCCTACTGCAAACGGACCCCGCGGACAAGGGCGAGCAGAGCTTCAGGCGGGCTGTCCAGCTCTGCACTACAGCATGCGACACTGTGGCCTGAACCACTCTCATGCACAGGTACGGACCACGAGGTGGGGAGAAAGGAGCAAAATGGGAAGAAAGCTGGGGAAACCAGTAGGGGGAGGCCGGGAGGAAACACAGGACTGAGTCTGGGCCATCCCACGCCATCCGACTAGCACTGGGTGCCCAGTTCCAGATCCTTTACTGGCAGTTTCAGTCCCAGGGAGGAGGTTCCCAAGGGGTCGATCATGTTCTTGTAACGCTCCCCACGGTGCTTAGCTAAGAACGGGCCCCAGTCCGGCTGCGGCGAACACACCAACTTTAGCCTCTGCAAGGAAGCCAAAGACACACAGGGTCACCGAAGTCGTGCACCTCCTTCCCCAAGGCACCCCCCTCCACCCCCAAACTGTGTACAGCCACATTTGCCAGGCGCCCCCTTGAGCCAAGAGCTCCCCGGCCAGGAGAAGCAATTAGGAAGGTCAGCCATCAATTAACCAGGCCACGGACGCACTGAAGAGGAGACTCCGTTTGGTTTACTTGAAATTATTTACATCAACCCGCAAGCAACGTTATAATTGTTCGGGGTTTGCCTTGCACAAGATTAATAGAAGGTAAAGGGTCCAGATTTTAATTACACATTTTTCCCCTCCAAATGAAGAGAATCCGCACACTTCTCTCTCCACTGCCAAACGCAATTTGCAAAGGACACGTGTGCTCTATTACTTTGGCTCCGTAGTTCCAGCGGTGGGTTGCTACATCAAAATAATTGGATTTTGTTTAGCATATTTCCCAAAAGCATATAAATGGCCAGAAAAAAAAATCCCAACCCCAAAGATACATTGCCAAGGGTGAGCAAAGATTTTAATTATCTGTTGACAAAAAATACACGCTTCTGACTTGGTTCAGCAGTGCTGGGTTCTTGCAGGCAAGCTAAAAATAACGGGGATGTCTCTCATCCTTCAGCTGAACTTCCTACGGAGAACATCACTTGACTGAAACATATTTTAGAAACAGGAGAGAAAACATATTTCTCACGACATAAGAGGGAACAGTTATATGTTTATTAACTATTAACGTGGAGCTGCCTCTTATAGCTGTTAGTTTAATCTCCCCTTAATCATCAGTCTGCAGCCTCCGCGTCCCAAATCAACCGTAATACATTTATATAGCCGACTCATCAGCTTAGAGCATTTCTGCCTGACACAAAAGTAGCAGAGGCTAGACCAGCTTCTGTTCAGAGGGAAAGAGATTTCTGGGTCAGTTGGCGGGGAGGTTCATCAGGGACACAGGCGAGCTCCCTGGGGGTCAGGGAGGCCACAGTAACTTACCTCAAGGGGGCAACAAACAGAATTTCCTGAGGATGGAAACCAGAATGCCGCCTCAGGAAGACGGCTCCCACGTCTCCCTTTGCCCGCTCTCTCTCCATCTCCGGTCCAGGGAAAACAAAGGCTACCTCCCCGCACGTGAACACCTGGTCACACACCCACTCACGGGCTTCATTCCCATCGCTCCTCCCCGCCGGAGCACCATAGGGCATTCCAGAGGCCTCTCTTGCTTTCCTCAGTCAGGCTGACCGAGAGCAAAGCCCCTGCAGCTGGTTGGCACCACCCTCTGTCAGCAGGTGTTTCTGCGCCTTGGTCTAACCCAGTGCCCCTCAAACCTGAGTGTGCACTAGAATCACCTGCGGGGCTTGTTAAACTGTAGACACCAGGGTCCCGCTTCCCCAGGACTCTAGTTCAGTGGAGCCGAGCTGGAGTCTGATTATTTGCATTTCCAACAAGCTCCCAGGGGTCCGATGCTGCTGGTCCTGGGGGCCAAACCCTGGGTAGCACCAGTCTGGTCCAAAATGCCAGACCTCTGATCTTCAAGAGGGAGGCAGTGCTGCTCTGTTCCTAGCAGGTCTGAGCAAGTGACACGTCATAAATAACAGAAGCCTGGCCACGCTTTACTGGTGGCTCAACAAGTGGCAGTCAGTCCTTCCCATCCACTCTGGAGTGAGCCTGTGGGGATTTATTTTTATTCTTATTTTTGGATTATAATTGAGAAATAGGTCCAGCATGGGGTTAACTGACAAAGAGAGACAAGCTCTACCAGCCGTGCTCTGGACTTTTCATTACATTCTACGGGATGGTGACATTTTAATTTACTTTTAATTTTTTTAAGTATATTTGTATTGATTTCAGAGAAAGGAAGGGAAAGGGAGAAATGAAAACATCGATGATGAGAGGGAAGCATTGATCCGCGGCCTCCGGCACGCCCCCTGCTGGGGATCAAGCCTGCAACAGGGTCATGCGCCCTGGCCGGGAATTGAACCACGTTTTCCTGGATCCTAGGTCGATGCTCAGTCACTGAGCCACACCGGCTGGGCCGGCTGGTGACATTTTAATCAGCTGGGATCCCCTGGCCATCCCTAACCCAGGCGCAGCAGAAGGGGAGTGATTTGTAATTTAATGGTAATAGATGTTTGAAGGCAGGAGCCTTGAACAGAGAGGAACATCAGGAAGGGGGACGCTGAGGTGTGGTTAAAACCAAACACTGGGCTTTAGCCGGTGGGTGAGGGGGTGGGGAGAAAAGTCCAGGGAAGAGGAGGTGCTCCGACCGTTTGTCCCAGGGCTGTCACGGCACTCAGCAATCGCATAACAGCAGCTCAGCCTGCGGTTGGGCTCAGCGCCTCCGTTAGAGGAGGAATACGCAATAAAAATGGGTTCAACAGAAACACCGGCGACTGTACGCACTTCATCACCAAACCTCGCTCTAAAATGAGTTCGCCGAATCTCTTGCTTTTAATGCACAGGCCTCCGAGAGCTCCTCCCTCGGGAGGGGTCGGCAGGGGAAAGCGGACAGACCTACCTCAATAAATCTGCCAGGAGCCAGGTGCATTTTTATCACGAACATAATTGGGATCCAGATAACAGAACAGAGGAGCATCAGCCACCCGAGCACCATGGACCAGCCGGGGTAGCGGTAGGAGCCGTAGGTCATGGGCTCCCACTGGTAGAAGCTGAAGCACAGGATAAACTAAGGAGAGAAAGGAAACGCGGTCAGGGGCGCACCTGCCGTGAGCGGGGCCCACCGTCTACCGTCTCAGCTTACTCTCCTAACGACCCGACAGGGAGGCGCCAGCCACCCATTCTCCCAGCGAAGAAACGAAGGAACGGGCCTGCGCCCGGCCTCCCGCAGGAATGAGCGGTGCACCTGCGGGTGAGGACACACGGCCGGCGGGGGGACCAGGGTAGGGGGCAGGCGCCAAGGGGCCGACGGGCGGAGGTGGGGGCATTTTTAAGGGGCTGCTGTACTTGCTATGATGGATCATCAGCTTTTGTTACAAGAAATAAATTTGTTATGGTTATATATTTTAAGCTTTTTTAACATTTTCCATTGATTTTCAGAGAGAGAAGGGGGAGAGAGACAGAGAGAGAGAGAGACCGGCTGCCTCCCGGACTGGGGATTGGACCCGCAACCCTTGGCTGTATGGAATAACACTCCAACCAACTGAGCCACACTGGCCAGGGCTGTATTTTAATTTTTAAAAAGTGAATTAAAACTGTTCCTTCTCCTTGAACGGGGAACAGCCTGCATCCAGGAGCTGCTATAAAACTGTCTGAGCGAGACCCCAAGTGGTCCCCACGCAGGGACTGAGCCAGGAGCTTGGTCCTATAATGAGCCGTGGGACGGAGAGAATGGACGCACAGCCCCTCTCCACTGACTCAAGGGGAAGGGGCCTGGTCACCAAATGGTGGGCGCAGAGCCCGGAGATGGGGACCCTAATCTCGGCTTTACCACTAATTAACTGAGGGACCTTCATGTCTCTCCTGCAAAACGGATCTTTCACACCCTGCATACAACACGGGAGTTTTCTGGGAGCAACAGTCTGGCATTTACTCTAGAGATGCCCCTCAGTTTTCAGAGCGGTCATGATTTCTTTCCCGCCCATTATCTCCCATCGCTGCACACCCTGGCTGGCGACGGCAGCGAGAGCCCTCCGAAGGCTGGGTCAGTGCCGCTGAAAAGGAACCAGGGAGACGTGTGCCGGAAAGGAGGCACCAAGAAAGACAGAGCAGGGGTCCCAACTGCTCTTGCCAAGCTTTGGGGGCACTGCCCTGGGAACACCGTGCTCTCCCCGCATCCATCCTGCCTATGGCACCATCGGCCTGAGCAGCGAACCTGATAAAAATGACATGAGCTCCTCCTCCCTCCCCACCTTTCTTCTTCTATCTTAAGCTGTAAAATGACTGCCCCCAAAATGACTGGAGTGAACTGTGTCAGGAAAGATAACATATGGAAGGGTTTTGGGAAAGTGTGAAACACTACAAATGTGAGGCATCGATATTATTGCTGCAAAGCCCGGCAGCTGGGGCGAGTGAGTATTCCAACACAGTAATAATTCAATATATCCATTCGAAGCAACATGAGCCTGAAGACAACTGCTGAAAAAACTGCTTTTATGGAAAGAGATGCCTTACTCTAGGCCCCCTTTTAAACACTTGCCCCTAGAGTTATAAGCTTTATTAGCCCGTCTATTGGAAGTATGGCCTAATGTATTTATGGTAAGTTGCTCCATTTCATTTACTATATAAACAGCAATACGTCTGCTTGTGCGTGTGCATAATTCAGTGACGTGATCTGACTATGTACACAGTAATTGCATGGAAAATATTTATAGCCCTATAAATCCATGAAGGAACATATAAAAATGATCCATTTTATTTCAGGGGTTTCAAAGTAATTTAAACCCATAATCTTAGCTCGTTCTGGCACACTACAAATATCCATTTTATAGGAGGGCAAATGGCAAAAAATAGTGAGTGCTAGGCTTGGTCCTTCGACACCCATTTCCGATTGGACAAATATCATATCAAAGTTATCTGTGCAATAAACCTCCCTCGGCCAAGTCAGCTTTGATAAAATCCTGCCTTCGGGTGAGCCTAGCCATGAGAGATGGTAATTTAGCCACTGAGTCAGGCCGTGCTGACCTTTCGCTGACGGCAGCCCAAGGAGGCCAGGAGAGGGACTCATGGTCAGCGATGATGATGGAACCGACAACTTCTACTTGTTTGTAGCTTCCACAGAAGGGGATTCTGGTTCAGGATATTTTCTGGGACCTCTGTATGGGTCTCTGATGGGAGTTTTATAATGCAAATCAAATAAAGCACAGCATAGTTGAGGGACTTTCTCAAAAAACACAGCAAGTCCCTAGAATTCCTTTTCCATGACATTCTGCTCACAAGGAAGATTATTTTAATCCCAAACTGGGATTAAAAGTTTAAAAAGCATTGAGTTTTTAGGAATTTGTCAGTGTGGCCTAGACAGCCCTGAATTCAATTCTTAGCTCCGCCTCCTGCGAGCTTTGCTGTCTCAGACAAGCACCTTCGCCTCCCCAGGCCTGGGAGCACGTGGCTGCCCCAGAGGGAAAGAGTCCCTCACCCAGCAGAGTGGTTGGAAGCTTTGGAGACAATGTTCGTGAAGTGCCTGCCTCACACTGGACCTCCACAAATAGGTGTGCCAGTTGTTATTATGTGATGTTTCTGCAGAACATAATCAAATTCTCTGATGCTTAATCTCTTCCGGGACTGGAGGGAAAGGTACGGAGAATCTAGAATAGATTCTAGCTTTGATTTCACCCAAGGATAAGTCATGTGCAGTAGTCACTGGGGGACAAGGCGAAATTGGACAGAGGCAAAGATGCCAGAGGCAGGAGAGTATCGCTTTTTCTTCCCACCAACTCGGTAAGTCCGAGTTCTTCATACACATTTCAGTCCCGAATTCAAGAGACTGGAAAATCTGTCTCACTTCTTTTCAACTCTCATGTCCAAGTCTGGTGGGACTTTTCAGACAGACAACAGCCTCAAATATGTGAGTGCAGATGCGGGCCCCGGAATGGTGCAGGGGGAGATCAATGCTGGATGGCTTTTCTGTGTAAACTTCTGCCTTTTTAGAAAGAAACTGAGGTGTTTTGATTAAAACCCACTCTGTGACAGCTTAAAAAAGAGGAAAACATATTTTCTTTACAATTTTACTTCCATCCTGGCTTGTTTTCCTTCAGAGAAGCAGGTGCTGTGTATAAAATAAGGCTCTTAATCTGGTTTCTGCTGCCATCTGCGGGGCACACGCAGAACGACAGCTGGCTCCCTGCAGCCTTTCCGAGATCACAACCCCAGCAGAGGCCAGGGAGGGGGAGAGGGAAACGCAAGGTCTCCGTCCATCACTGTGCTTGGACAGCGGATCGAGGCAAAGCCTGCAGCTTGGCACAATAGAGAAGGTGACAGGACCTGCATGTAAGTCCCTATGCAGATTTACTGGTACATGAAGGGCTGTGATCTTTAAGAAGATGAATGTCAGATGATCTCAAAATGTCATCACCACACTTGAGGATGACAAAATAGTTCTCAGAGGAATAAAAAGAAATAATAAAAGTCTAATTTATGCTATATTAGTTGTAGGGTGTCTGTATGGAGTGGCTAGAAGCAAGAGTTCTGCATGCAGCCAGGCTGCCTGGGTTCAAACTCAGGCAGTTGATTATTGGGTGTGCGATGCTAAGCAAGTCACAAAACCTCTGGGCGTCAGTTTCCTCATCTGTAAAATGGAGATAATTATCACGCCAGCCCCACAGACCTGCTGTGGGGAGAGCTGAGGTGATACATGCAAAGCAATGTGAACAGAGCCTGGACCATGGTTAGCAGTGGGAAATGTGATCCTTAATCTATCAGTGCATGAGGCAGACTAAATCATGGAAAATGTCCTAGAAGGATGCATGAGTCCCAGCTCTGCACCTAACTGGCTGAGCACCTTTAAGCAAGTTGCTTCACCTCTTTCCACATCTGAAAGACAAGAATAATACCCATCCTGCCAGCTTCCCTGGCTCCTACGTAGGCACAGTCCTTATTTAAACACAGAGCACCACGTACAAGGTGCTATCTGCACAATGCAGCATGCAGTCCTTACAGTCAAAATGGTTGGAGTCACAAAGGCCCAGCAGACTTTCCAGAAAATGTTTGGCTGAAATCCAATCATCATCTCTATATCTTCGCAGAATCTCTGCAAGCCTGCAAACAGACAAGCGGAGAATGAGAGTGAGGTGCAGCGGCAGGACTGAGGTGGGGACAGTGCAGGAGCCCCTCACTCAGGTGCCATGGGCTGGGGACAGCCCCAGCCTGGTGTCAACACGACCCCTATTATGCAGAAAACTATCAGAGAAATGACTCACCACCAGGAAGATTAGGAAATATTGGACATTTAAAGGGATATTAAATACTTTCCACAATGAGGTTCGAAAATGCCATCCCGCTGTGACATGTAAGCAGCTCAGTTCCAGCCCGGGTGTCTCGGCACTGCCACAGCCCGGCATATTCACCTGCATGGCCTTATGTGGTTAGCAACAAATCTGGCCAAAGCAGTTAAGATTGTGGTCAGTAAGCACAGTGTATAATGAAACGCTTGGGATTCGGAGTGAGTCGCTGTACATTGGCTTGTTTGGTTTTTGCCGCCCACCCTTTTTGCTCTGTGTAAGGTGATAAGGTCAGGCAACGACCAACGTGAATTCCAGTGGCCCTCGCCCACATTGCTCAAACCCAAGGACTGGTGTCTTCTTGGTCCCTGATCAACTTAACTAAAGTGACACACCGAGGAGACATTGTTCTTATGGCCACATGTAACCACCATCCCCACATACTCTTGGTTTAGGAAGGTTTCTACATCAGTCTTTGAAAGAAAAAGCCATGAAGAAATGTTTCCAAATCGGCAATTTCTTGCTCATCAGAAATGTGGGTTTCTCAGACCTGTGGGCTCACTGAGCTGAAGGGACCTGAAGGACCGTGAAGCTCGCTCACAGTCAGCAGTTCTGGCAAGTGGACCGGCAGCCTCGGCCTAATCTTTCTCAGTCCTTCATCCTCTGGGTCACTCATGTGGAAGGTGGGCACCTTGCCGTCTCCCATGGAGAATGCGCCCCTGCACATCTCAGGCCTTCTTCCCTGAGGCCTTGGCCACTTCGCTGCTTGTTCCCAGGCTCTCCCAGCGCCCTCGGATTTCTGGTCCTTAGCCCCATGAGGAGCAGGGAATTGCATCTCTGGGGGCTCCTCTTCCAGCCTTCATGCGCCATCTCTTACCCTTTGCCTTCACCTCCCTGTGCACCATCTGTACCAGCTGCCTTCACCTGACCAGTGCCCCCAGCTCCCAGCCCAGACTTCTCCTTCCCGGTCCTGTCCTCAGCGCCTGCTCCCTGCTACATGAGAGGGGCAGGGCAATGTGATATGAGAAGACAATCTCTTGAGGGGGCAGAAAGCAGACCTGGGGTATTCCTTTAGGGAACAGAATCGTTCATCTCGGCCCACGATGTTAGGGTAGAAAGTCCAATGTTGCCACCACCGACAGCATAATGGATCCTGAGACCATTAGTGGCCCTCAGGTCCCGGCATTTACTTCTACTCCATGCCAAGCTCAGACCCAGAATATCGCCAAGCCCTGTGGCCTGTGCTGAAAACAGTGTCAAGGAATCACTGAAGGCGCTTTTCTCACACTAAAAGTTCTCAGGTGGCAGTGAGCTTCCTGCTCTTCTTCAAGGTGACCCTGCTGGGGTCAACCACAAAGGCTGCTGGTGGGAGGAGCGCCCACCAGCAGTTAGGATCCAAGAGATGAACACTGTTCCTCCTCTAACTCGCTGTGTGACCTCGGGGACAGCAGTCCTCTTTTTGAGCCTCTGCTGGTTTGCTGAGGGGACTGGGCCACATGAGCTCTTAGAGCCCTTCTGGGGGGTCAGTCCGCGGCGAGAGGAGGTTCCAGGTTCCTTGTGTCCACAGGTGAGCACTGTATGTTTTGAGCAGCAGACCTGATCATCTGTGGGTGGTAATTTGTGTATTTCTTTTAGTTATACCAACACTTTTAATGAGTGGCCTCTGGACACTAGACCCTCTGGGCAAATGTGAGGGGTGAGAACCAAAGGAGCAGAAGTCAAAGCTGTTTCTCTATTAAATCTGCATCACGGCGGTGCTGAGGCAAGGTCGGAGATAAAACTCTCACATTTTCTAAGTAGCAGCAATTAAGCCCTTATTAAATAGGGAAAAGGACCAACACTAAGTTCTACCACAGCGGCAGGCACAGCTGTTCCCTTACCGTACACGTAGGAGATCCCCACGAGCTCAAAAATGGCGATGATGACAAGGGCATAGGAAGCCGCGTAGGTGTCCACCAGCTGGAACATGTAAATCCCGCCCTAGCAGGGAAGAGGAATAAGATCAGCGGGCCTGGCTCCAGGCTCTGTCCCGCTTCTAACAGGAGAGGGGAGTCTGGTGCAAACAGGAGTCCGAGGATCTCCCCTCCCTAAAGCTGAGCCAGTGTGCAAGCTGGAGGCCTTATCATACTCGCAAAGCGGCCCCGGAGGGACTCGGAGCCGATCAACAGAAGCAGCACAGAAAATCATCTAATGTCTTACCGTAAAGAGCAAAGATCAGCATCTGAAGGGGTGTGTGTGAGAGCAGCCAGATTGCTTTTGTTTTTGCTTTAAGCAACAGATGATCATTCCTACCCACATATCTTCGTTCCACTGACTTTCATATAACCTTAGGTGTCTCTGGGCACTCCTCACGAATCCCCCTGCATCTCTGCCTCACTCTCTATGCCTCTCTACAGTAGATAAAGCTGAAAGACCATCTCATTCCAGCCTTAATTTTACAGATGAAGAAACTAAGGCCCAAAGTGGCAACTTGCTCAAGGTCACACAGAGAGCAAAAGCAATACGTATACTCGATTTACCAAGACACTCAGGACTGGAAGGACTCCGAGTGGCTGTAGACTCGGATGACTATTCCAGATGAATAGTCACCTGGAAGCTTCTCTGGTCAGTACATTTGGATTTTCGTATTTTCTTAAAGTAGGACACACCTGCCTTGTTGGCTCAAGGAGGCTACATCTCAATTTGAAGGTGCGAGAAGTACTGTGAGTAGCCAAAGTGACATATTTCCCTCTGTGGTCAGAATCCCTAACAGCCTGGGGCCCTGTACACAGAAACGGCAGTGACTTGGCTACTGTTATGAGATCTGAGAGCTAAGGGTGAAAGGACAGACAGCCATCAGGTCCCCATCCGCCCCACCCCAACTTACCTGAGTGATCATTGGAAAGCCCATGATGAAGAAGCAGATGCAGCAGCCCAGAGTAAAGACCGGCTTGTGTGTGCGCAGGTACTTGGGGAACTCGTCCGAGATGGAGGTCACTATGGTCTCGATGGTGGCAAACTGGAATGGTGCCAGGAAGAGGGCGTCTGAGACAGACTGCACCACCCCAAAGGCTCCAAAAAGCCCTCTGTGCCTCCCACCAGGGAACGTGGTATCTGTATCAGGCTTGGTTTTTAGGACTGCCTTCCCTGGATGGGCCTAAAAGGCCTTGGTGGGGTCCAGCCCACGAGGCCAGTGAGGAGAATGCAAGCAGGATATGAGCTCTAGAAACTGTCTCCAGCCCCCAGAGCCTGCACTCACACTCACCCATCATGAGATGTAAACGCCTCTTCTCCGGTTCACCTGCATTTAATCTCCTACTTGAGGAAAAGCCCTCTTTGCACCCAGCTCCTAAACTCCGAGCACCTGTCAGCATGACTGGTAAGTGGTCTCGGCCCCAGAGCAATTTTCCTAAAAGTGACTTCATAATACTCTCCCTTACCCAGCCCCACAGAATTTACTTTGGCAAAATGACTCCAAAGTGGGAAATTCACAGGCGAAATCTTGCACAGAAAACGGAGCAAGGACTAAAGGAAGAGAGGACCGCTCCCCGGCACCATCACACAAGTCGCCCACAAATACAAGGCTATCCTGAGCCCTGACAGGTCATTCACCGTGATCTCTATGGAGCTGGAGAGGAAAGAATGCGGGGACCACTGCGGGCTGGAGGCCGGACCCAGGGGATGAGAGCCTTCAGAAGGAGCCTGGGCCGGGGATGGAGGGGAGGGCAGGGGCTCACCATGGTGTCCAGTCCGAGAGTGAGGAGCATCAAGAAAAAGATGATGGCCCAAAACGGAGAGAGAGGCAGCCTGGTTAAGGCCTCCGGGTAAACCACAAATGCAATGCCTGGTCCTGGGAAGAACAAGACAAGTGGTTGCAGACAGGCCCAGCTCCAGGCCCCCTCCTCCTGGAAGCCCACCGGGTCCTCTCCCCATGGAGATCCTGAATTGCTACATATTATATGCTGCTCCCACTGTTTGTCTTTTCACTCATTTCTACCCATTTCCCCAGTCAGATCCCAAGCTCCTTGAAGGGAAGGACCAGGGGAATTGGGTCCATATCTTGGGGAACTCAGAGGAGAGGCTCGAAAATAGTGCCAAGACAGAGACTCAGACCTCAAGGCCAGGCTGTGTCCCATGGAAACAACATGAAAACCCCATCCTTGTATTGATGAGTTGAGGAAGAATATAATAATTATCCCCTAGAATAGTGGTTCTCAACAAGGGGTAGCAATGTCTGAACACACTTTTGATATTCACAACTGGATGGCAAGGGAAGATGACTGGCATCTAGCGGGTGGAGGCTAAGCATCCTTCACTGTATGGGACAGTCCCCACAAGAAAGAATTACCTGACCCAAATGTCAATTGTGCTAAGGTTGAGAACCATCATTTCCTATTTTATCTACCCTTCCTCCTATTCACATAGGAGAAGCCATTTACATAAAACATAAATCCAGATAACACTTAGGATCTTGCCCTACAAAGGCTTGGTCAAGGTGGGACTATGTCAGTCCACAGAGAATCAGCTGGGGGAGGGGGTGGTGACGCACAGTGTAGGAGTTAAGAAAGTTTGGGTTCTAATGGTCTGACAGATCTGGGTCCAAATTCACACTCCATGCCGCTGTGCAACCCTAGACATGTAATTTAATTTCTATGAGCCTCAGTTTTGCCCATCTGTACAATGGGGTTAGCAATAGTACCTCACGGGGTGGTTCTGAGGAACAGATGAGAAAATGCAGGCAGAGCACTGAGGCCAATGCCTCCCTCATGATCAATACTCGCAGGATGTTGGCGTCTATTATGAGTAGACAACGAACTTGGGAGTTAGCGGTTCTGACTCAGGTTTTCCCAAGAATACCGCATGTGCCCTTGGTGGAGGAGGTCTGAGCTGCAGCTTTCTCCGCCGTCACAGAGCCCTGCCAGCGGTCCCTATCTGCCTCACGGCCTCTCGGGAGGATTACTGTAACCCAAGGTGGCTGAAGATCGGCCGCTGTGAATTTCCTTGTCAGCAGAAAACAACATGCTAACGGGCAGAGACACGTGAGTGTGGGGTAATACACAACCCACACACACCGAGACGCCAGAAACAGCAGCACCCGGAGTTTTCACAACTCAAGCATAACAGCACTTTTTAAACTGGGATTTATCAGGTCGATTGTTCCTAATGTTACCGAGGGCCTTGCAGTACTGAAAATATAAAGCCCCGAGTGCCTCAGATACCCCTGCCTTATGCATTTATGGAACACACAGTAGAGCCAGCCTCAGACGGCTCCCTATGTGAACCATAAAAGAAAAGTCTGTATTAAGCTACAGCTCAAAACAGGTCTCGAATGCAGGACACAGAGGAAGGCAGTCAGCACTCTAGCAACAGTCGGGCCCATAAAGCGGGCAAGAGGTGCTGAAACGGCCACTGCCGGAGGACGGCGGCTGATTGCTTTAACAGGACTCAGCCCTTCGGGCTTCGGTGCTTTCTCGGGGTGAAAATGATTTCATGTGCCACCCGCTTCCGTCGCAGCTGCCCCCCTAAAGCACACAGGTGAAGGCATCATTTTCAGCAAACTCCGTTCATCCAAGACGGCTAGGGAGTGGGTTTTAAAAATATTTTTTTTATATTATTTTGTAAAGTTCAGATTTATTTTTCCTCGAAAGATGGATTGTCTGAGCCACGGCAGAGCTTTCCCTAGATGAGGCCCATACGTCTGTCCAGTCCCACGGGGAGGCGGCGCTGTCAGTGGCTGGGGTGCAGGCTCCACTGCCCCGTGGATTGAAAAGCAAGTGCTGCCTCTTACTAGCTGTGGGACCTTAGGTGAGACTTGTTCTCTCCGTACAAACCTCAGTTTCTTTGCTGATGCCATGGCGATAATAGTACCTATCCTCACCAAGTTTCTGTGAGAATTAAATGTGCTGATACAAATAAAGGCTCAGAACAATGCCTGGACACAGCATGGACTCAGCAAGCAGAGGCCATTACTGCTCTCCCTCTGAGAGGGGACCGAGGGGACTCTGCATGCCAGCAGCTTGGACAGGCCCCCAGAGACCTAGAGCGAAAGCGTCCTTTATCCTAGAGTCACTTAAGACACAGCCAGGGGCGCTGGTCAACGCAATATGTCAAGACTCGCAGCACATGGGGAATGGCCACTCTGCTGTGAAACCTTTTACAGATGGGTGAGTTCTCAGAAGGAACACCTGAACTCTCGTGCCTCTGGGGAAAAGGGCTGGCATCCAGGTGACAGACCTGTTTGAGAATGTTCACTCTGATCAGCAAAGTCTCTGAAGTACTCAGGGGCGAGGGGACCAAGGCAGCGCCTCCTAGTGGCCTGACCACCTGGGAACTCTAAATACAATGTGTGTGCATCTATGTCAGGCTGCTCTGGTCTAGCCTAGTCTTCCTGCGGTTGGACGAGCACCTTGGTAGGGCTTGAGGTTGAATTCTGACCATGGGTCACCACTCCACAGGCAGCCACGGGCACGATGCTAAAAGGTTGGCATTCCAGGAAGCTGCTTTTGTGGAGTAGATGCCTGAGAAGGACATGCCCCCTTCCCTGGGCTCATTGTAAAAGGAGAGCACAGCTTGGTCTCATCACCAATCCCACAGCCATCATTAATGACTATGACAAAAATGCCTCCCTTCAAAGGGAGCCATAAACAAAATAGAGTGCTGTTAGGTCACTAAAGAGAACCTGTTTTTGACTAAAGACAAAAACACAGCTATTGTTGAATCAGCAAAAACGTACTGCACGTTTATTTGCCAATCCTGCCCAGCTAGGAGGGAGTGGGGCTGGCAGTTAATGCAGGCCTGACCCCCAATCTCTGTCCTGTATTCATCAGAACCTCCGTGGTACCAGAGAAATCAGACAAGCCTGCAAATCACACAGAAGCAAGCAGGCAAATTCAGGTGAGCAGGGCCAGCTGCCCACGGGCTCTGGGAGACGTCCTCATGGACCACTGTCCCTCCCCGTGGGGAACGAAGCCCACTGTCCCTGTGCTGGTGACAATGAGAAACTGCCATGTATTAACAGTTCATGTCAGAACTTGTTGGAAGTCGTCTTCTTGTTAAAACCAGAGAAAGTAAACACAATCTGGAAAGGGGAAGTTTCAGAGAAAAACCTGGGCAACTGTCTGACGCTTTTATGTACAGGAAAAGCAGAATTCCACTTGGGCGTTAGCGGCATGTACCCCAAATCCCTTTCCTGGGGCAGAAAAGAGCTCAGGTGTATTAACTAATGTGGCCACTGGGTCACAATGAGCACAGTAATGTCACCAAAATAACAAAACACCTCAGATCTGCCAGAAAGTGGGGCAGGACCCTATCTGCTTCAGCTACTCTGCTGGAAGGAAATGAGGACAGCCGGGGAGGGGCAGGCACCCCTGCAGACAGAGCCTTCTCCCCTCTCTCTCCCTCCCTGATCTCCAGGGAGTGGAGGATTTTCCACAAGGGAGAGGCTCCTCTACCCCAGGGCGCTGCTACAGGACCAAACACCCCAGCTCTGCAGGGAGAGATAACTACCCCCTGGAATAGGCTGGCTCTTTAACTCTTTGAGGCCCGCGGTGCACCATCAGCGCCGCTGAAGCAGTAATTAATTATCCTGGGGGAGCCAGGGGAGCCGGGCAGCCCACCAGGAAGGTGACATTTCCAGGGCTCAGTTCTCTCGCACGCTGGCACCTGAACCATTACCTGAGAACTGCAGTGAGCTCCTTGAAGAAAGGTAAGTGGACAGCAAAGCCACTCCACAGCCATGTCCCTACAGCCCCTGGCATGGTCCCCACACCGAGGCATCCCCTGAAGGTCTGATTAAAGAATGATCATAATGATAGGCAACAGCCACAATGAAACCCCTCAATCCCTGAAGCCTACCAAACACCCATATTCTTTGGACAACAAGGCTGGGTGGAAATCGAGAGCTAAATGAAAATATTAAACCCTCTCTCTCTGCAAAATGCTGTGCTAGGAACGTGGATTAAAGGAGATATAAAGGACAGCTCCGTGTAAACTCGGAGGTGCCACACAATGTTCGCCACGAACACAGGGATGACTTGGGTGGAGAGTGAACGTTGACTCTACATCTCTCCAGCTGCCACCATCCACGCTTTCCACCCACGGGGAGAAACTGCAGGTCTGTCTCGCTAACGAAGCAGAAAGCCCTGAGAGTACATCTGACCCAACAGTCAGAAAAGTGCTTTGTCAGGAGAGGCTGCTCTGAAGTCAATGCTCTATGAAGCGTCAGCACTGGTTTCTCGAGTCCTCTGCAGGGAACACATCCTGCAGCAGCTGTGTCCACCTCAGCTCCGGGACATTGCCTAATGACCTAATGACGACTCCACCCACACCTAACCCGTAAAGCAGGAATAGGCCTTACTGAGGCAGGAGCTGAGATGGGGGGGAAAGGGAGAGCAAGCGGAGGAGAGGGAAGCAGGACGGGGGCTTTTATAGCAGCCCCTCTGGTTAGGGACCAGCCAGCCCTGCCCCCGTGTGCGCTTCCACTGAGGATATCTCTGTCCTTCCGCAAACGGGGACCCAGGCTGTCCAACCCTCCATCCTGTTCCAAAGGCCAACTTCCCAGCAGAACATAAATTAGGGTCTCATGACATGAGCCTGGCATCTGCCCTGCAACGGCAGGGGGGCTGCACGTTACCTTGGTCCGCCACGTTCTCAATGTTGACCTTGCGCTCATTGGCCATGAAGCCAATAACCGAGAAGATGACGAAGCCGGCAAAGATGCTTGTGGCACTGTTGGTGCAGGTGACGATTAGAGTGTCCCTGGGGGAAGAGACAAGAGTTGGCAGTTAGGGATGCTTGGTGGCCAGGAAGGGACAAAGGAAAGGACACAAGGTGTGTGCACATGTGTCTGTGTGTACATGCCATGTCCATGCATGTATTTGCTGCAGGCTGGCCTTGTTTTCTCTTAATCACAGGACAGGAGCAGCCAGTCAGTCCTGGCCACAGAGTCCCTTGAATTTATAAGCACCAAAGGCTCAAACAGATCTCCCCTAACTGCCCCGTCCCAGGGCCTCTGGCTCCACACACTGTGGACGGGGTGTTTCCTCACTGCACTGACAGAGGCAAGTCTGTCCATCAGGGCAGAAATTGAGGGGGCGGGGCCTTTCGGGGACAGGAACCATGGATGAGAGAAGAGAAGGCAGTGGGACCATGAAATGTCACCAAGGTATGAGGACAGCCTGGGGTTGGGGCACCCAGGCTGAGAAAAACAAGAGGGGAGCAGACAGGAGACCAGCGAGCTATGTTTATCCCAGCGCCCTCTGCTGGCAACAGGCTGCAGTTTCCCAGCCTGCCTTGTCCAGTCATCCTGGACTCAAGAGATGTCACAGCCTCCCTC